GCTGACTGGGAAGGAGAACCAGACCTCAGCAGAGAAGGGGAGAGGCCTTTTCACCACTCTAAGTCTTCAGGTGGATATGACTGAGTGCGTCTATGGTGCTGACACCTTCTGTGGCCTCTTAGCGTTTGCACATGCCAGATCCCATATACTTTGGGAGTTGGACAGACCCTGAGTATTTTGAACTCACCAAATCTGCCCTTTGGGCAGGGGGCTGGACTCGATGATCTTCTGAGGTCCCTTCCAGCCCTAATGTCTATGAAATCTATGAAATCCCAATAACTAGGACAAAATGAGTCTGTCATTTGAGGAACTTCACCCTGTCACAGCAACAATTGGGCATTAAATGATTCTCCTAACCATAACCATTCAGAGGTCATCCACACAGCTATTAAATACACACAACGGAAACTCTTACTAGAGATGAAATCACGCTAATAAGACAATTCTAGAAACCCTCCCAGTTTCCCATAGCAAGGTCACCCCAGGACAATCAAAAACTGCTTCTAATGCTTCACTAATGGCTTGGATAAATATTTAAACTGCATATTAGATTTGGCACTAACTACATACAATGCACCTGGATCCGTGCAAGAATTGTAATACTTGGCTCTCATGTAGTGCTTTTCACATTCAAAGCACTGCAGAAACATTAGCATTGCAGTCCTCACAATGTGCCTGTGAGCTAGGTAAGTACTAGCAGATCCAGAGTTTGGCCTGAGTTACAGTTGCTGAAACTGAGGCAAAGAAGTAACTTAGCTAACCATGGCAAAACTCAGATAAAAATTCTGCTAGTCCTGGCTTTCAGCCCTGTGATCAGTCACTTCATCATTACCTTTTTAAGTTAATGCTCTACCCTGGGATGCGCCTGTGCATTAGTGGGCAGGTAAATAAATCTGGTAGGCAATACTGAGGCCATAGATAGGCTGCTGCAGCGGGACACAGAAGTGTGCTGCAGGGTCAGAAGATCAATGAAAAAAAAAAATTCAAAGGTCCATCCTGAGCTTGCATCCACCTAATATGACCAGGCAGGTGCCAGATAGCAAAAGGGGAGGATGCTATCTGTAGAAGGGCACCACAAATGCCTGTGTATTGTGCACTCAGGAGTCTGGCCAGGAGGATTATTACCATGGCAGTATGACCAGCTGCAGGAGCAGGCTTTGGCTCATCCTAAACAATCTCACAAGCTTCACGCAGCATCAGTGTAATCATTCCCACATTAGCAACATGATACTAATGCTGTGATTTATTAGACGTGTAATGCCAGCCATTGCATTGCACTCAACAGTCCATGAATATTGCCCTACACCCTCTTTGCCACATGCAGCAGGGTACACCAGGCAGAGGAGAGAGCCTGGCCCACCAGGAGCTCATTTGTCTAAGCACCTCATTTGCAAAGGCAGGTCTGAGCCAGATGACTTGATGAAGATATTTTTGTGCGTGATTCTAAATACATTGGAAGCCCTTCCTATTGATAGACGCACTTGCAGTATAAATAGTTACATCCTCTTCATTTAGCTCGGTGCTTTAATTAATATATAAATCAAACGCTTATAAAATTCGCAAATGCTTGGGAAGACGTAAAATTTAATTAGTTTGCCTACACAACTCCATATGTCAATTGTTAGCTCAATTACTCTTTGCCATGAAATACTGACTGCACATTTTCCATAGCGGTAATTTCCCAGCATCTCAGAGACATGGTTAATCAACACCCTGAACTCAACACACACACATAGGAGTTAAAGATGGGTGATAAGGAGATACGTTAATGACGTCACAGCCCAATTTTGCTTACCGCAAAACTGAACACCACCCCTGGTTGTAGCTGTGCTCCTTCATGGAGACTCTCCTTCCAGCCTGAATTGATGATCCATTTGGTGATCAAGGTGATTCAGGTGCCAGGATCCCATGAAAGGCACTGAGACATTGGCCCAAGTGGGGCTTTGCAGGGCAGGTAGCTGCAATGGCATGGCCATGAAGGGTTGGTGTGCTTCAGTGAGGGTCTCTACATGGGATCAGACAGCAGGAGAAGGAGCTGCGAGTGAGTAGGCACATTTTCCTGGCCTAAAGTCTCCAAAAAGGAGGCACAGGAGGAAAGCATCTGTTACACCTGGCCATGGTACAAGGGGCTTGTTTCTACACACAACATTTGTTGGACTCAGGCTTTGTCCATTGCAAAGCAACTGTCATCACAGAGGCTAAACAAATTCAGGAAATAATCAGAGCACCTCCCTCTCTCACCCCCCATTTTGGCTCTCAGTATGAGCTTCAGAGAAGCCCCGAGACACAGCACCAGCTCTACCTCTCTCATCCTTTCTGAGAACTCCCTCCTCATCCAGGCAGAGGGCTCCTGTTACTTCGGTCTCCTTCCCCCATTCCTGAATGCCACTTCGTTCACACACAGAGGCTAATTTTGATGCGCATCACCAGATCCCCTGCACTCTACTTGGAGCAACTGGGTAACATAGCTCAGCCAGCATGTCCTCCGCTGCGTGCTCCTGGAGTTGCTGGCGGCCTTGCCCAGTGTCTCCCTCTCTTACCTCCTTACCCCATGGACCAGCTGTTACTCCACAGAGTGGTTCACAGTCTCCCTCTCCCTTTGGAAATGAGAAGGAAACATTGGTACATACCCAGCTGGAGGACAACAGGCTACTCTGCTTCCAGAACCACCTCTCGGGTCCTGGCTGCATTTTCCTTGCATCCCTTCGTGGCCTTACTAACTTGCAAAACCTCCCCACCAGCCAAGATAGCCCTCCATCTGGCTGGCAGGAGGAAGTTTGATGGGAGGAGCTTGCAACTTTGGGACCTACTTCCATCCCTCACATCTCAAGACACAGCTCCTCTAGACAGCATCGGCCAGCTCTTTGGACTCCTCCAAGGAGTAGTGGGCACTGCCAGAGCTTCTCTGCTAAGTGTCTCCCTCTGGATCCTTCATATTGCATCTCAGCCTCCCTCCAATCCTTGTTTTCTCCTTATTCATCCCCTGTATTTAGGTGGACCCTAGCCTTATGGCCCTACCTTTCAAAGCAGGACTTTGACCCACCCAGCCCAGACTTTTCTCCCCTTATGCCTGCAATGGACACACCTGAACATCCTCCACTTCAAATCCACCTTAAAAGGACTACGCTGATGTGTCTGTCCCATACCACACCAGGTTTTGGATGACAGGATCTCCAATATAGGGACTTCCCCTCAGGCTGCTTCTCTGTTGTTCATTTTTTCCAGTTGAGAAGCACAATAAATACCTCCCAGGCTGTAGAAATAATCAGGAGCAAGCACTCATTAAAACAAAAACAAGTATGTAAAGCAAGGGAAGCGAAGGAGGCTGTCATCATTTATTACTGGTTTTCACTGGGCTCTGAAATGTGGTAGGCATTTCCAAAACCAATTGGAAAGATGAGTCTCTAATCCTTAAAATTTACAAAGGTTTAACCATGTGCCAATGATTACAACCCATCTGGCTCCAATAAGAGAAGACATAGTTATTTATGATTACTAATAATTATTTACATGATTTGTAAGAGCTCTATCATGTTGCATATTTGTGTCTGATCCTGCAAACAAGCACTTGCACATGATTAGTGCCCTGCAAGCTATAGTCTACTGCTAATAATGTAACACTACTACACAAAAAACTTATAACCAAGATCAAGGAGATGGCTGCTATCGAAATATGGCTAAAGAGACAGTTCCTTCTCTTGCAAACTAAAAAGACTCTAAAATATAACATCAGTGATGGGAAATCACCCCCAAGCTAATAAACAGAGATGATTGGCCCTGGGGTGTTACTTGTCCGAGGGAATGTCTGGGTGCTAAGAAGTGCTAATAGAGGCGGAGAGAGGGTGAGGAGGAACGGTAGACAAAGGGCAGTGAGGAGGAGGGAGATAGGGAAGAGGAGAGGATGAGATGGTAGGAGATGACAAGGGTTACACAAAGATCCTGTGGTTGCTGACTCAGGCAGGGTAGCAGGAAGAGGCGGTAGAGCTCTACAGGAGCTGATGGAAATGATGCACTAATATTTGCCCTCTATTTACATTAACAATATGTTCCAGCCCTGTGGTGATACCAGAATGAGTGATTAGCTCTGCTGGGTTTCATTGTCTAATTTAGACATGTTGATAACAGTCAAAATCCTAGTTTTGGGGGGGAAAGCAGAAAAAAAACTGACAACACTTTCAGTATTTTTGTGTTGTTGTCTTGATCAGCTTCCTCCATTGACCCGTTTCAAAAGCACCTTCCATGGGAGGATCTCGAACACTCACTGATCCTTGTAGGGTAAGCAAGTATCATTACAGGGCATGGTGTCCAATGTATCACCTGTCAAGTGCTCTAAAGGTTTTCTTTTTTCTGAGCTGCTCAGATCCACGGAGATAAATGCTATAAAGGGCCCCGTGACTCTGAAGTGACCCTTCCTCAGTTCTCTGCTCCAAGCACTGCACAACTGGCTACCCAGCAAACGGGGACCAGCTCTGTAAACCCTGCGCAGACAGACACCAGCCAGTCTGTGAGTTCAAAGAGCCAAGCCAGGCTTCGGCCTCATTCATATCGTGTCCAAAAGGGGTATCTGCTTCTCTCGCAGGACAAGTCTCCCCAGCATGTGTTATCTCCCTTTTCCCATTCTCTCTGCACACCTCAGCAGCCACTATCACGGGTGCACGTGTGAAGTGAACAAAAGTGAGTACAGTAGACCCCCGATTTACACGATTCTGACTTACACGTGTCTTGCATTTACAGGATTTTTTATTAGGGTCCGGACTGGAAATTGCCCCTCGAGATGCACGTCATTCACGTATATACATGAACACCTCACAAGATTTGCAGGTGGAATCAAGTGGAGCTGTGCCGCCATTGTGCCGCCATTGTGGTAGCAGCATCTCAGGATGCATAGGTGAGACACCGGACGCGCCTCCTAAAGGCGATTGCGCCGAGAAAAGGGGAAAAGAAGCTATGACTATGGTATATCTGGGGTATGCGACCCCTCACTATTCCATTATTTCCTAGGGGAAAAGTCGTCCTGACTTATGCGAATTTGACTTGCACCAAATTCCCCCGGAACGCAATACTTGTGTAAATCGGGGGTCTACTATACAAGAATACAGCACAATCAGACAAATCAACTATGTGCTGCCAATAGCAACAAAATCCAGGATAGGGCTCTCAAAGGGGCCAAAGTCACTGCATGTAGAAAAGCAAATCGCTATAATTAGTGGATTCAGTATGCAGAAACCTAGTTACTTCACTATCTTAAAGAAAAAATTGAAGGGGGATCTTGCAGGCTAAAAGTCATTTCCTTCTGTAACAAATAAAACCATAAAATAACACTGGTTAAAAAAAAGAATATGCTTTTTTATTTATTGATGCTGTTTGTTTATTTATTGCATTTTTTTTCTCATTTTACACAATAAAAAATAAACTATTAAGTTTCTCTCTTGGTCTATAACTAGTTTCTTATCACTTTCACTTTCAGAATCTCATGAACTAACTGGAAGAAGTGCAGCAGATGGGTTGCACACTGCAGCGATCTGACAATTTGTTTTCAAAATTGTTTAGATTGGGATTGTAAAATCATGGAAGCAGTCCTATTTGTTTCGGTTTGGACATCAAAGTTTGTGTGTTTCAGGTGCTAAAATCTGGGCCAAATTTGATATGACAGGGTCCATTTAAAAGAAAAATAGCATCACACAGAAGTTCTAGCTATACCAGATGCGTTATAAAATTTAAAAACTCTTCTTTAGTACCACTTTCACAGTCTGCTGAGTTTACAGTACATTTTGCCCTGTTTTAAGCAACTGCATAATAAATGAACGTGAACTGCCATGTTTCCCATATTATTATACTAATCAGTATTTGTGCTGGGGAAGGAAAGCCTAATGTCTTATTTTTATTTAATAAAAACAAGTTTTACTGAAGTAATCTTTGGTATTCATATGGCCCCTTCACTGCAGTATCTGAGACACTCACACTGATGTGATTATTCTTCCCACCCCATTCCAAGAAGTAGGCAACTGCTATTTTTGCAGGTGGGAAACTGAGGCATAGGATGAGTATGGGTCCAGATGTGGCATATTTACACTGGTGTGATTTACATCATTGTTGTACGCTGATGTAAGTTATACCAAGATCCAAAGTGAGTATCTGAACAGCTACTCTGGGCTCTCTCTACACAGAGCAGGCTGCTATTAATGCATCTCACCGTTAGATGGCAGAGGAACAGGCAATAATGTGTTTGTCTGGAGCACATGGCTCTCTCAGGATAGACTGAAAACACCTGGCATGTTCATTCTGATGTAAATTACACCAGTGTCACCTGACCCTTGATTTTTCATCGAGCAAGCCTACACCAGATTCAGAGAAGTTACATCAGGGTGGAACTGCACACCACATGCCTGCTTCTTTTTTACCTCTACGTAACAGGGTGCTAAGGTAGAAACCCTGTTACCTGGGAAATAGTTTCAGGAAGCAGGTAGCCAAAGGGGACAGGGTCATGAAAAGGAAAAGGTCGGCAGCCAACCAAGCCCCAGCTGATGAGGATTGGCAAACTGGGTGGAAATAAGGGAAATGAAAGCAGCTGCCACACTTAAAAGACAGGAGTTGAGGGACAAAACCTAGCCCTCTGAGCCCTTGGAGACAGAAAATAATACACGGCAGATGACATGCAGAACAGGAGCACGTAAGTCTGAGGGACTACGGGTCAATGGCTGACCGATGAGCAGCAGGGTGCCTACTCGAGGGGTCACAGGTGATGAGGGCAGCTGAAGACGGGCTCAGGGAGGACAAGCATTGGAAAAGGGAAACAGGGGAGGAAGACACGAGAGGTTCAGCAAGGTGGTGAAGAAACCACTCCCCTGCTAACGAGCAATAAGCACAGCCAATAAAGACTTGGTAACCAGCACTCAATAAATGTAACACCTTGTTAAACTACTATCTGGGCGGTCAATGATATTTCCTTCATTCAGGAAATAACTCTTATCATTTCTCCCATCTCAAGTCGTGGCAGGAAAGCTCTGAGTGAGGCTGAGGAGCCACATTCACCCTCCCACACTCAGCAAAAAGGTGAATTAAACCACTGTAAATGTATTATAGGCCTAATTCCTACAAAATTAATTGGAAGTCACACAGGGACTCAGTGTCAGAGCAAGGAACTGAATGTAAAGCTCCCAGATCCCATGCTAGCAGCCAAACCACTGGGCCAGCCTTCTTCTGTGAAGGTTAGCTGTTACCAACACCAGGTGTTTAACAAGAACCTAGTAAGATGCTGTCCCTGATGCCTACTCAATACTGCTCAATACTCATTCTATTTACTGAACAGTGAAAAACATTTGTAAAAGAAATTCCTCTTAAAAGGTTTTAAGGTCTTAACCCAGAGCATTTGCGCACTTGCTTATCTTGCCACCTGCGCATAGTCCCTGTGCTGTCTGGACAGCTACTTACATGTTTAAAGTTAAGCCCAGGTTTAAGTGCTTTGCTAGGTCAAAGCCCTCCTGTCTATTCCTAGTCGAGACTGAATCCATTCTGAAATAGATAGTCTCTCTCCTTTCTTTTCAGCTTTCTCCCCTCATTACTGCACTTGTCATTCATCTAATCTGCATAGGCAATTTTTTTCTAACCAGAGCACATTGACTTCAATCCTAGGGAAACTCCTCAATCCCAGGGAAACGCCTCAATCCTAGGGAAACTCTCTGAGAAGATCATCATGGAGCACATCTGCAATGGGCCAGCCTCAGGGATGATGCTTAAGGGCAACCAGCACGGTTTCATTAGGGGCAGGTCATGTCAGACCAATATGATTGCCTTTTATGATCGGGTCACAAAAGCATTGGATGCAGGTGTCGCCATGGATGTAGTCTTTCTGGACTTCAGCAAGGCCTTTGACACCGTCTCCCACCCCATCCTCATTAAAAAATTGGGCGACTGTGGCATTGATGCCTACACAGTCAGATGGATTGCAGATTGGCTGAAGGGTTGCACTCAGAGGTGGGTGGTGGACGGGTCATATTCAACCTGGGGAGAAGTGGGCAGTGGAGTCCCCCAGAGCTCGGTCCTTGGGCCTGCACTGTTCAATCTCTTTATCAGCGATTTGGACGACGGGGTGAAAAGCAACCCATTTAAATTCGCTGATGATACCAAAATTTGGGGTGAGGTGAGCACGCTAGAAGGGAGGGAAAGACGGCAGCAAGATCTGGATAGGTTACAGGGGTAAGCTAACAAAAACAGGATGCGTTTCAATACTGACAAGTATGACTGGACAGTATAAACCAGCAGCACACTTATAGAATGGGAAACTCCCTTCTTGAGAGCACGGAGGCAGAAAGGGATCTTGGAGTCATTATTGACTCCAAGATGAACATGGGCCGACAATGCGAGGTCACCTGCACCCACAGGTGCATCTCTAGCAGGGCCAAGGAGGTGATCCTCCCCCTCTATGCGACACTGGTCAGGCCGCAGCTGGAGTACTGTGTCCAGTTCTGTGTGCCCCACTTCAGGAGGGATGTGGACAGCATTGAGAGGGTCCAGAGGAGGGCCATGCGCATGATCCGGG